ACTAATCCATCAGTGGATAGGATACTCTACTCTTCATGATATTTTTTGTTAAGACAAAATTTGTTTATGTCACCTTGCCAATTTTCAGCTTGCAAATGTTTTATGCATTACTAAGAACCACTAAGAGGTTATGTTGCTGCATATACCTTTTTAACATTTCATCCTGTTATTTATAGAATTAAAAACAGATAATATTTATAAAATATGCCTGCCAAACATGGTCTATCTGAGCAACCCCCAGTCACTTTTCACTTATTACAATATTATCCATTAGTAATACATAGTACAGTATTCTGTAATAAAACTCAATGGAAAAAAAAAAGCTTGAGCAGATGTACATTTAGTAGCTGTTTTTGATTACACATGACCTAGCTTTGGATGAATAATCTGCATGATAAAATGGGAACTTTGAATTTTTTGTGATAATACTCAGGTTTGTTAGCATTGGGGCTTTTGTTTTCCATCGTGCAATCCTGTAGTTCTGCATCAGAACAATACTTGGCCTTCAGAGGGACTTTTAACAGTGTGAGAGGGCCGCACCAAGGGAGCAATACCATGGTGATCACTCCTGCGACCATTGCCAGCTGCTCGATGTGTACGGAATGCAGTGGTTCAGAGCACTTGAATCTTCACCAGGATCAAATCTGAATATCCAGGAGGACTTTCTTGGGCCCATTCTTCCCTGTCCAGGGCCCAGAAAGGTGATCTGAGTTAAAGGAGTGTGTATGGAAGCACTTAAGCTTTTTGGTACTCAGATGACTTTCTCCAGATGAGGTGTTTCTCTTCAGTTGACTTGGGACCTGTAGTAGCATTCTGCTCTGAGTAAAGATCTTGTGACTTCTATGATGAGGCAGTAGTCACCTGGAGGACAATGACACCGAGTGGACTTCAGAGGTTAAGTAGGTGGACCTGAGGTTGCAATAGACCTTCGTCTGAGTACTACCCCTTACTGGCTGTATGATCTCGAACAGATTATTTAAAGTTCGGTGTCTCAGCATTTTTATCTGTAACATGTTATGGTGCTAAATACTTTAAACACACAACAATATATGCATAGATTTGCTATGTAGTTTCAGTAAGATAATTGCCAGAATCTGCGTGAAATACTTGAATAAACAAATGGTAAAGCCCTCGATAAAAGCAAAGTATGAAGTGTGAAGGGATCATGTAGATATGTCGATGTGTTAAAATGTCCTTTGGGTGTGGAAATTAAATGAAAGTGAGTAGAATAATAATAGCAAACATTTAATATATTAATATGCGCAAGGATGGTTATTAGCAGACAAATACTAATTGACATGACAGCATTCACACTAGACATTAGACTTTCTAGGACAATGATTATTGATGAGAAGTCCATGGTCTTAGGAACAGAGACAGTGTCTAGTGCGTTATGTGACATTGCAAATGGATCCTCAGGGCTCAGTGTTAGACTCCAATCTTTGCGCAGTGTGTCTTTTAAGCTACATTACTAAGGAATCACCAACCCTTCCCCCTGAGATTCAACACCAGAGCAACATGGCAAAACCTTGGTTCTAGTGCTTTTCTGCCTGTCCAGTGTTTAGGATTGGGAGAATATTAAGACTTTCTTTGGAGTATCGAACAGGCTAGGGTCTGAGTCTTGGGGCCACTGGTACGATCCAGCAGCTCAGTGCTCAAGGTTGAAGATCCACTGAACATGACAGAATAGGAACCAAGTTCATTTATTACCTAAAAAATCTGCCAGGATTCGTTGCCTTAAAGCTGTGGCCGTTTTCTCTGAAGCTTTCCAGGAGGCTAACTTATAGGCATGACTCCTAGAAATATTAATCCTTAACTCTCACATATTAGTTTAGTCAATCTTCCTAACAGTTTTAAAATATTTCTTTTTTACTGATGAATAAAATGAGCCACAGGCCTTAAGTAATTTACCCACAGTCACACAGCAGGTTTTTTGCAGAGTTCAATTCACATCCAGAGGTCATGCTTATAATTTCAAAAAGATGCTTTGAAGCTAATTCTGAAGAATAGAAAATAAAAGTAGTACAGTAAGTGCTGAATCCTAGAGGGACAAAACTTCCACAAAAGTCTAAAAATAACCATGAAGTACATTTAAATTGGCAAATCAAAATTTGAAAATAGTGACTACTTAAAGGAGTATCTCAGGTGACAGTTCCTAAAGATAGAGATGGAAAGGCTCTGGCCGAAGGTCCAGACGCAGCACCCACAAGCCCGAGACAATTCTGATAGAGGCCGTGACTGATGAGCTGGCCGCCTGGTCTCAGCCTCCGTTGGCAGCAGTCCTGGCTACAGCAGATTCCCCTCCAAAACCTGGATTTGCAATACAGAAAGACTCCCTCTGCTCCCCTCTACTTTATGGAAGTATATTTGACAAATAAAAATTGTATATATTTAAGGACTACAAACTGCTATTTCAATATACATATATACTTTGAAATGATCATCACGGTCAAGTTACTAACTTATCCATGAACTCATATAGTTACCCCCTCCCCTCCCCTCCCCTCCCCTCCCTCCCCTCCCCTCCCTCCCTCCCCTCCCCCTCCCCTCCCCTCCCCTCCCCTCCCCTTCCCTCGTTCCCCTCCCTCCCTCCCTTCCTTCCTTCCTTCTCTTGGTAAGAGCACTTAAGGTATACCTTTTTAGTAAATTGTAAGTATACAATACTGCATTGTTAACTATTGTCACTGTGCTATCATGAGACCTCCAGAATACATTCATCTTGCGTGACTGAAACTTTGTACCCTTAGATGAGCATTTTCCTATCCCCCCCCACACCCCAGCCCCTAAGACGAAAGTGCATCTCTCTCCAGTTCCCTTGTTTATACCCACATTAGTGCCATTTGTTTGAACAGGAGGGAGGTGAAAAATTGATGGATTCACAATCAGAGATGATCCAGCCAACATATTCTGTCTGTAAAAAGTGAAACACATTTTTGAACTTCTGACTCATGGGACTTGAACCAAAGGCTTTCAGGCTCAGTTAAGCCTTAACTCTTCTTGAAATGGAAAATATTTTTTTGACAACCTATCTTCCTCCCTAAAATTCATGCTTTAAATAGTATTCTCCATATGCAGATGTTTGCATTTAGTTACTACTAAATCTTTTCTGAATTTTTATTTGTTATGATGTAAAGAAAATATTTTATTTTATTTTTGTATACTTCTTTAATTTTACTGAACACATTGGAAGGTTGTTTTAAATTTTGTTTAAATGTTCTTTGAACCAAAATATTTACAGAACAAGGAGTTCCTCCAGCCCGCAGATCCTTCCATTTGTTGCCTTTGAGTGTGGAAACATTGGGAATGACAGCACAAGACCACGCTGCCCAGCGTTTTCATAAACAACCTAATAGCATTGTCTAATGCGGTTTTTGTTTATGGAAGGTGTCAGAGACTCCTTTGCTATATTTAGGTTAAATCTAAATTTCTTTACTCAAGCATGGAAAATATTGTTTGTTTCTGGTTGGGAGGAAAGCAGTATGACCAAATAAAAGAATCGTGCTTAACTGGAAACAATTATTAAAATAGTCTCAATTTCAAGAAGGAAAAAAATTGTAATTCTGTTTTTGTGTTTTTTTTTCAAAAGGGGGGGCAAAAATGCTAATATTTTGTACCTTTTGTAAAAATACTGTGTGTATTTCTGCCTTAGTCTGTGGGCATTCATTGGTAAATGACTTTATCTTTTAATTGGAAATTTTAATTTATCACATATTAGTTGAGCAAATACATTTTAATAATAATAATAATAATAACTAATCTTAGTTATTATTAAGATTGGCTGGGCACTATGCTTTCTATACCTATCCTATTTTCTAAGAGCTTATGTTATATTTATTAACTGTTAATAATTGAGTTTAAGAAATACATATATATCTGTGATAGCTTTAATAAGGAAACGAGAATATGTGGTGGCCATCACAGGCTAGAGTGAGCCCAGTGTCTGTGACAACAGAGGAAAATGGCCTTAGAGTTTAAGAATATTTGTGTGGAAAAGTGGAGTTGGATGGTTAAGATTTGAATACAACATAAGTAGATCTAGAGTACTTTAATGACAAATTCACAATTGTGGGTTTAATCTAATAGGAATTACATACACATTCATGTAATATATGTCTATATGTATTAAATTGTACACTCTTAATTGGAAGAAAATTGAGAGTTACAGAGTTTTATGCTTTACCAAGGAATGTGAAAATGTGTTTTAGATATGAATTTGTAAAACATTCTAAATGTAATGCCAGTATTAACCACTGAAATGTGACTTCCTGTGGAACTCTTATAGCAGAGATAACATTACAGAAGATCCCTTGCTTAGTCATTATGCTGTTCATATTGTTGTAATAGGAAAAATAGAAATTAATTAGAATGTTGAACTATATGGGATAAAAATCATATTAGGTAAGTTGCTGTAACAATACATGTACCATTTTTTTCTACATCGAGCCTGGGACCGGCACTGGTAGTCACCCCTCAGTCTCTTCTTTCATCCGAGATCCACTCTTTTTCTCTGCCATGTGTTGCTATGGTAATTTTTTCTTGCTCTCTCTGATTCTGGTCATTCCAGGTTTCGTTAAACCTATTCTTTGTGACTGGAGTTAATTTAATGTGCTTCCAGAATCGTCCGACAATCCCTGTTTAATCAACCTTTTAATTTTATTCCAACATTCTCTGCAAACATTCTTTGTATAAGAAAAGAAAATGGACTGCTTTCCTATACCAGAATATACCCTGTGCTTTTTCTACATTTTCTTCTTATGTGAAATAATTTTCCAATGTCCTTGTTTGCTAAAGATAATATTTATTTATGGGCTGGGTCAGATTCCTTGTTCTTGATGGTGTCATAAGTGAAATTACTTTGTTTTAACTTACATGTGGTCCTTGGCTTTAGGTGCCGATAGCAATTTTGTGCTCATTTGTAACAAAGTTGGTTGTTTATGTTCATGTTTGGTCTTCCTATCCAATTTGTAAACTCTTCTTTCTCTATTTTGTTTTTCTCCCAGCATCTGAAAGTTACATCCGTGTCTCTGTGTCATGCTGGCAGAGACCTTCAGCAAGTCATCTTAGAGCAATGCTACAATTTTGTTTGTATGAATGTAAGTTGCAAATAGAAATGACTGGAAGCACTTGAGGATCTTATAAATGTAATATGGAAGAGACCTTATGTTCCTTGATTATTAAATATTTGACTTTAAGATTTTGATAGATGAGTTGTATTTTTGAATATGTACTTGGAAACTTTATTTTTCATCTTTTGAAACAGGAAAATAGCATTCCCTATAATGAGGAGATGGTTTTAATAATTCTTTAAACAGCATGTATAATTTTCTGTTTTGTTGTAAGCAGATAAGGCTCCACAGGTTTGAATTAATAAGTAATACAACTTTTAGTAATTATAAACTTATGGAATGTCTTCAAAATAGATTAAAATTAAAAAATTGAGCTTTATGCATATTTTGAATGGTTACATAAAAGTTCTGCATGTTTTCTCCTTGAATTAACTTTACATCATTTAAGAACTTCTTTTAACTCCCTTTTATCTGTCTGGTCTTTCAGGTTATGACCTCTGAATTTGAAGAAACCAAGAAATTACTGAATACACTTAAAGAGAGTAATCTTTCAATTTTGTATCCTGTTGTTGTTATTTCAGTAAGTGAATTAATGCGGATTTTTCGCTTTAAGCATGTGCTTTCTTTTTGGAATTCAACTTTTTATTTAACAAAGTTTTATCAAGCTGAGGAAATCCATCCAAACCCCAAAGAAGAAACTCTTCTTTGTGGACTCCTGAGCTTACTCTCTTGCTGTGATTTCTTTTTTGACTGCCTGCTCGTATTTGGTTGAAGACAGGGTTGGAGGACAATGGGATTCAACCTAGCAACCAATTTCCTTTCATTTTGTTCGTTAAAATCTGGACGTGTGTTGCTGCGTCGACTAGATTGGATAATGTAAAAGAGCTTTATTTAGAGTATGATCAGGATGACGTTAGAGAAGCATTCCTGAAGTTAAAAAAAAATGAGGGGGAAAAGCAGATGGAAGAAAATTTACTCTTAGGTTATCTCATTTTCTCTCTTCTATGGACAGACCAAGCAGAGTGAACAACAGCTTGAGAGAATTCCTAGGAGAAGAGCCCATAAAAATTTTGGAGAGATATTTCTGTGAAAGACTAACAGTGTCATGTTTAGTATAGCATTTAATTGTGTGGCTGAGGGGAATATCAGAGGGCAAAACCAGGGAGAAAGCACATCTGAGGCCCGGCCTACCCAGGGGCTGAGGAGTCGTATTTGGTGTGTGGCACTTTGCTGTGGGAAGGGGTCCCCAACAGGGCATTCTCAAAACAAGTGCACACCATTGCCATGTTTCTAAAACTCAGGCCTGTTCTACAGTGTGGTCATTGAATAGTTCTATAGTTAGGTGAGATCATTCATACAGAATAAAGATAATTTGCATGACAAATAGGTAATTCTAGACTAAGCAGTGCAAGTAGGAACAAATTAGCAATCGAAGGAGGTTTATTTCACTGTCCTGTTGTACTTAGTTATATGCCCCAAAGATAAATTCCACACATACTGATTTTAACAGCTATATAGGTGTTCTCACTGAGACTTTTTAGGAACATTAGGAAATGTACCCAGTGCTGGAAGGCTCTAAGGCTCTGTAGAATAGTGATAAGTTCAGAGTCCTGTGCTAGGCTCTTGATTGCTCTGTCCACATTGTAACTTGCTTAGAAATTTCATTTGGTTCATGTTCCCAGATATTATTCTAAAGAGGCAGTAACAGCGCTGTGATGAGAACAAGAGCTTACAACTCAGAATGCCTCGGTTTCTTGATCAAGTTTCTGAACTTTTATGGAGCTTGCTTTCTTCATTTTGGAAATGAGGTTAATAACCCTACCTCTTAAGTCATTAAGGATTAACATGAATGAATGCAAAGTGTAGTTGACATCACAGTGCTGGGCCCTTGGCAGGAACACAATGCTAATTTCCTTTACTAGGCCAGCTCCTTTTATTTAGGGTTGAGTTCGGATGACTCAAAGTTTACTTTCTTAGCTTTAATCTGATTCTTGAGCTTCAGTTATGCATTTTCCAACATTCTGTTAGGTACTTAGTTTTGAATACTTAGCTATCTTCTCACACCTGGCTTGCCAGATCTATCCCCAAAGCACAGTCTGCCTCAGTTGACTTCTTTTAGTGGCAATGCCACTGTGGCAGGTACCCAGGTGGGAATCAGTGTCACTTTTGAATTTGCTTTCTACCTTTTTCTTCTGCCTCTTTTTGTCAAACACACACACACAGTTGCTTAAACTATTTGTTCTCCTATTTCATTTCTACTGTTGTATCTCAGCCTCAGTCCTTTGTATTGCTTCCATAAATATTTGAATTTAATTTTCTGTTGAGTTCCATTTTATGTACCCCAGTAAATGCAAGGCTGTTTGGCTACCTGGTGTTCTGTGTCAAACTAAGGGAAAAGATGGACAATCCTCTAGTTAGGGAAGAAATGTCTCTCAGAACTAGTGTGAGAATATTATAAGTCTGTATACTCTAAATCAACATACTATAAACACTGTAAAATATTTTAAGTCTATAATTAATATTTGTACACCCATTGTTTTCTTATTGTGTAAATAGATTCACTGTGCTGATATTAAGGATATTATTAAATTAACAGGAGAATGTCACTGGAACATAATATAGAATATGCATCCTTAGTATGAGGCAAATCATTGGGAAGGTAAAGGATGGATATTTAGTATAGCTAGATTTTACTTCAGGTTCTACATGAGTCTTGATTGTTAAAATGTCAGTTCTCTTTGGCTCTTACGAAAGTGAACTGGGTTGGGAACATTTAATGTAGGTTTTTATTTTCTAAGGTAAACTAGTATAAGAAGAGCCTACTGCTTTAAGAACCATGTAAAGAAAGAAACAAAATTATACATGAAGAGTAGAAAAAAAATAACCGGGACTTTATCTTTAAAGAACTAAGGTACTTATTAAAATAATTTTATTTTATCTTCTGTTTAAGAAAATTTGGTTCTGTTTGCAAAACTGAACTTTTTTGCATAATTTTGTGGACATTATAGGATGATATATTACAATGTTTTTCAAGTGGTCATTTTTCCAAAATATTTTGGACATTTTTAGTTTTGTAATAATATCTTTTGTTAATAATAATTTGATGTTCAACATGTTCTTTTGGAGCTTTATTCTCACTTTCTTTTCATCTATTTTAAATTGTGTAATTTTGCCAAGTTCTCATTTGTTGATGGTGTTGAGTATGGTTTTAAGGAGTTTACAAATGTTAATTTGATCAACTTTATGGCATCCTAGTTTTTGGTAGCTGTAACCTAATTTCATTGTGGTTATATTAAATTATCAGAATTTTCCAAATTTCTACAATCAACTCGAGACCGACTGATGGTAATGTTAACTACTTGGGCAGAAGTCGATGCTAGCATTCAGAAGGGCAGAGATGGTCGTATGGGGTCACTTTAGAAGTGTTCTGTTCTCAGCGAATCTCTCTGCCTTTTAACTGCAAGCCTTTGGAAGCAGATCACGAGCACACCTTGTACTAGGAGAATACTCCCTACTTGAAATAAAAAAAATAAATAAAAAATAAACAGTTTTTATTCCAGACTGGTTGGCAAGAAGGAACTTTCAAAATTTAGATCCCTTTCTATATCTTTTAACAAAAAAACCTTATAAACATTGAAAATCAATACTTTCTTTTGTAAAGTTAAATAGGGCAGGGGTTATGTTGAGAGGTCTTTTCAGATGCTGTTTAGTTTGCTGTATAAATCATCATGGAGCCAAAGTTTTTATCCCGAGTTGACTGAAGTTGCTGTTGTTGGTCCCCCCTTTCCTGTGGTCACCAGGGGGTGTAGAGTATGGCTGGTCGCCGCTCTCAAGAGGACCTCAAGCTCTGTTTGGAATCACCTGATATGATAGCTATCACCATGGGACATGCTCAGTTTTCTATTTTCTACCCCTTTTATGTGTTTTGTTCACTGCTTTTAAATAATGATGAACAATTATTTAGTAAAGTGATATATTTATTATATGTATTTAAATAATATAAAGCAATTTCATCAAATTTCTGATATAAAAATCACTCCAAGAGAACATAGTTTTTTTTTTCCTAGTCTAAACAAAACTAAACAGTGCCAAAAGCAAATTAAGGACTGAATTCTTGGTTTAGAAATTAATGATCAGAGAGCCTTTTTTTTTTTCATAACAATGGGCAAGAGAATTTCAGGAGACAATATTACTATAGCTGTTTTCTCATCAAGATTATGTAAAACTGAAAAAGTAATACCTTTATCTGTTCTGAAAGTAAACTAGAGATTCTAATTTATTTGGATCTGGCAAGATTTTCACAAGACATTCTTATTTAAAGCTTATTTTTTCAATGGTCATAGCTGCTTCATATAATAGGCACCAAAGAAATGATTAATTTTTAAAAGCAGAAAGTAAATAGCAATAAATCGAAATAGAAGTTTAAAATCAAGAAATGAAGCAAACTCTTTGATTTTATTTAATAAAGTAGTTTATCACTTCTCCACAGCAAAATAATTTTATGCTAAAAATTTGGACAATTACATGTGAGTTCTACTTTCTTTGGCAATTGTATTGGTGCTTTATGAGAGATAAGAATTCTCTTTGTGAATTCACTTCAGCAAAACAAATTATCATATGGAGTTTTAATGCTTGGAAAACATATAAATAAACCTTCAAAAGTGCCTAATTTAGTTCTAGTTACTAGGAAGTAGTTTATTGCCACAACAGATCAGAATATATGATCTTTAAAATAGTTCAAAATGTTTAATATTTGAACATGTCAGCAAATAAAAAAATAGAAAACCACTCTTCATTGACACTTGATATTTTCACATCTGGGGAAACTGTCACAGAGATGTAAATTGTTTCCAGAACATTCCACAGCTCACCAATGTCAAAGCCAGGAACAGAATCAATCCAATATGCAATGTATCAAATACACTTGTTACTTTTATGCTCTCATGAATGTGTTAAATAATAAGATGGAACAAGATTAAAAATATACATATACAAAAGTATATGTATTTAATATTTCTTCCTAATAAAGAACAAATGACAATTGGAAAAACATATAGATTCCCTCTTTTAAGTGCTAATGAGTTCTTACTTTAGCTTCACAGAGTATTGAGCCTTTATTGAATGTAATATTTATAAAACCTCTATAATTCTGTTAAATTTCTTACCAGACCCCAGACATGTATCTTTGTCAACTTTTACTTAACTGTTTGTTCTATAGCCTTCTGCCTGTTAACCCTATTATCACTAGGCTAAGAAAATTTGTTTTTAAGACACAAGTTATTATAAAACAAACAAAACATAGCTGGCTATCATAATTCTCGCTGCTCCCACGTTGGGTTTACTTTTATGTATATATCAGATCTCTAGTTTATTTGTGTGTATTTTCAAATGGATATTTTATCTATTTAACAGGCAGAGAGTGACCTAGGGAGTAGGTTCAAATACCTGTTCTACTTCATTCTCAACCATGTTGCTACTGTACCTTTATGGATTCCTTGACTTTTTTTTTCTTTTTAAAGAATTTATTTATTTATTTTTAGAGAGGGAAGGGAGTGCGGGGGGAAGAGAGAGAGAGAGAGA